AAGGTATTGGTCCACTAGCATATAAACTCCATAAGGGTTTTGGTCAGTTTTGCTCACTGCTGAATGCTCAGCACCTAAAACAGTGCCTGGCACGCAGTAGGCACTCAGTAAATACCTTAGGTTCATAAAACAGGCTTGTCCCAGCCCCTGCCCCCGCCCCCTCAACCAGTTCCTCACCATTTCCGGAAAGCATACTCTAGATAGGAGGCCACGAAGCGCGCATGAAACTCAGCAGCGTATTTGGTGTCATAAATGCCGGCTGGGAACATTTCACACAGGTCAGCAGTGAAGGTTCCCAAGCTCTCGGGCAGGTGTGCGTAGAAGTTCTGGTACAGGAACACCAAGTCTATGAGGCCGTTGTGCAGCACCAGGGGCCGGCGGGCCCGGATCAGCTCCAGGAACAGCGTCCTGACTGACTGGCTCTGGCTCTCATCGCCCTGGGTGGAAGGAAAGGGGTCAGCGGAAGGGCAGTCCCGGGGGGGCCTCTTCTGGGGGCCCTTCTCCCTGGCTCCCCTACCTGGAAAGCTCTCCCTCCCTGCTCTACCCAGGGCCAGATTCCCGTGGGTCACGCTGGTTTCCCCAGCCCCCTAGGGACTTCCCATACTTCACAGGCGCCTGGCCTAGGGCAAGAGGGGGTGAAGTCACAGAAGGGGCAGGCTCAAGGCTGGAGACCTACCTTGTCATTGCCCTTGTGGTAAGGGATCCCCTGAGCGTACTGGCGGTTGAAGTTGAAGCCATGCTGTACTAAGAACTGCACAGACTTTGGCTCTATCACATACTCCTCCATGCACAGCAGTGTCAAATTGAACACCTGAGCCAGGTAGGAGTGTTCGCCCTGAGAGAAAAAGGGTCCGCTACCTCAGGATTTGGGATAAAAACACCCCTAGCCTGACGCTCCCCATGACCTCAACCCTCCTCCCCTCAGCCACAGCAGGGACAGGAACGAGAGCAGCCTGTACCTTGTCTGGCTGCTGCTTGAAGCAGGCGAGGCCCAGGGAGAGAACAGAACGGGTTCTGGCAGCATGACACACGGACTTGTAACGTTCCTCGATGCACCTTGGGGTTGGGTTTAGGGGTGGCTGTGGCTGGGAGTCAGCCCTCAAACCCCCCAGGCCTGGGACCGCTACTCCAGGGACGAGGTCTGCCCCTCCTGCCAAGGCTGGCACTAAGGTCAGGCGTATACTTACTGGTTCAGCAAACTCTTCCTGTCCCCAAGCCCACTCAGTTCCTATGAGCGCGTGAAGGGAGAGTCTGTGTTAGGTTCCCGGCGCCAGCCCTTTCCCAACTACCCGCTGTCCCCATCCCCACCCCTCACCGTGTCCACGGCCACAAAGCTAGCGGTCTTTAGGGCCAGCAGGAGCGATGGCCACATCTCCTTGAAGTTGTCACTCTGCACATCCACCACGGGGACCTGGACTACTGGCTCCTCCCCAGACTTGGTGCTCTTGCCCACACCACCTGAGGGCAAGGAGAGCGACGGGTGTGGAGGCTCAGGAGGGGCCCGGGGGAACAGACACCAAGCAGGCCATGGCCGGGGCTGGGACGCTCGGGGGCAGTTTCGCTGAGGCCAGAGATGGCAACTCTGCCCTCCGAGCCTTTGTGTCCCACAGACTTCGGAATGAGCCGTGCACTGAATCTGGGGAGACAGAGGGCGCCTGCATCTTCCCGTGGCTTATGTGAAGCTTTGGGAAGAGGACTTCTCCCCTCAGCCTCACAATCTTTAGAAGAGGAAGGCCGGACTAGACGATTCGTGAGGTGGTTTTCCCACATCCCGCGGGAAACCTTTCGCAGGGCTTGAGGAGTGCGACTCTAACACCCCACACAGCTCCACAGTACTGTTCCCACGGCGCCCCAGTTCCTCGCACCCAGGCTCCCAATTCATCCCACTGGCTCCGGCCCCCGACCCCCACCCGCTCCACTTAACACAACCGCGGGCTCTAGACTACACCTCCCGACACGCCCCTGCCGGCCCGGCTCCGCTCCCACCACGCCAGGCTTTCGCCGCGGAGGCGCGGTGGCCACCGGGAATTGTAGTCTCCTCGTGGCTGGTTCAGAAGGAACGCGCTAGTCCTTCTGAACGTGGAGATCGGTTTCTAGAGCCAAGAGCCCGAGGCCTTCCCTTCTCCCGGCGCACGGGGGCTTAAGGCGGGAAGTCACTCACCGTCAGGGACCGCTGGGGCCGAGGCCGCGGCACCGTCGCCGTCGGCGGCCATGACACGGCGCGCCCCTCGCCGAGCAGCCGGGGGTACACGGCGCTTCCGCCTCCGCTCTCCGCGCGGCCCCGGCGGTCGGGCAGGGACGGGGCGGGGCCTCGCCCTCGGAATCGCCGCGTCGCCAGCCGCTCGGACTTCCGCTCGCACCTCCCGGGGCGGCGCGGAGGAGGCGGGGCGGCGCGCGCCGGGGCCTATGCGGCGGCGCGGCGCGGCGCGCGGGAGACCGAGCGGGAGGTAATTCCTGGCGGGAGCATGGGCGGCCTCTCCGCTCCGGGGTCCTCCGCGCGGCCGGGGGTGGGGGCCCCGGACCCCAGGGGCGGTGAGGCCGCGCGGGCCGGCCCTGGAGGATGCGACCTCACCTCCAGGAAGTGAGAAGGGGAGGACTCGGGCTGCCAGAGGGGCAGAACCCCCGACCGGCAGGGAAGCCTTGGTAATCCCGGCGGCTGATAACCGGGACTTGAATTAATGCTCCGGCAAGTGGGGACGGCGAGGACGGGACAAATTGTAAGCCCCGAGGAGGTGTAAGTTCACCTAGAGGGTGATCGCACTTGACTCCTGGTACCGTGGGAGACTTGTCCAAACCGGACGCCGTTCTTTGTCAGGGGCTCCAGCTCCCATCCTCTCCACCCACCAAGGAGCTTCAACCCCTTGTCCTTGGCTATTCACTGTGCTATTCACTGTTCGTAGCTCCATCTTCAGCCTTTCTCTCCACGGAGTCTTCTTCATTGTTCGGGTTTCTCCCATTTTATTTGTTTTTTTTAAATAAATTTTTAATTTTTATTTATTTGTGATAGTCACAAAGAGAGAGAGAGGCAGAGACACAGGCAGAGGGAGAAGCAGGCTCCATGCACCGGGAGCCCGACGTGGGATTCGATCCCGGGTCTCCAGGATCGCGCCCTGGGCCAAAAGGCAGGCGCTAAACCGCTGCGCCACCCAGGGATCCCAAGGGTTTCTCCCATTTTAAAGAAGGAAAACCTCTTACTATCTCTTATCTGGTTAATTAACTTAACAGTGCTTGTATACAACTTACCTGGCCCAGTGCTCAGCTCTGGGGACTCTACTGTCAGCTTATGGAGTTTTGTAGCCAAGTCGGGGAAGTGGATACTGATCAAAGAAACAAAATGTGAAATTACAATTAGTATAAGAGGAAGAATGGAGAATTACACAAGAGGGTAAGATTTGGGGAGGGGGTGCTGATTTGGACATTTAAGTCAAGACCTGAAAGAATGAGTAACTGCTAGACGAAGCACAGAGTACAAGCTGTCCAAATAGAGGGAACGGATTGGGTGACGTCAAGGTGGGTAGACAAGTGGGGGATGACGCAACTATTTAGGGAAATACGGCTGGAGCACAGTGAGTGAGGGGATGAGGCAGGTGGGGATCTTTGGAGCCTACACAACTATATTAAGAGGACTGGGTTCTCAGAGCAATGGATGTGATAGCCAAGGTCCTCCAGTGGCTCACAATGCACTTAGTGATCCTGTGGGCCCTACTTTCTTTACTTCTGACCTCATCTACTCCTCCTTCTTTGGTCCATTTGAACCACACTGGCTTCCTTATTATTCTGCAAACACACCAGGCACTTTCCTTAGGGCTATTGCACTAGCTCTTTAGGATGCCTTTGGCTAACTCCTTCAGTTGCCTTAAATCATTGATCAGGTATCAGGTATCACTTTAGTAAGGCCCACCTTGGGATCTCTGGGTGGCGCAGCGGTTTGGCGCCTGCCTTTGGCCCAGGGCACGATCCTGGAGGCCCAGGATCGAATCCCACGTCGGGCTCCCGGTGCATGGAGCCTGCTTCTCCCTCTGCCTATGTCTCTGCGCTTCTCTCTCTGTGACTATCATAAATAAATAAAAAGTGCCTTTAAAAAAAAATAAGGCCCACCTTGACTGTGTGGTTTTATTTATTTTTTTATTTTATTTAAATGTGTATATGTATATATATATATATATATATATATATTTTTTTTTTTTTTTTTTTTTTTATGAGAGACAGAGAGAGAGGCAGGGAGCCTGATGTGTGACTCGATCCCGGGTCTCCAGGATCATGCCCTGAGCCAAAGACAGACGCTCAACCACTGAGCCACCCAGGCGTCCCAACCATGTGCTTTTAAATTGCAACATTCTGGGGCATCTGGATGGCTCAGTTGGTTAAACATCTGCCTTTGGCTCAGGTCCTGATCCTTGGGTCCTGGGATTGAGTCCTCCGGTGGGCTCCGTGCTCAGCAGGGAGTCTGCTTCTCCTCTCCCCACCTCTGCCCCACCCCCCACTCATGTTCTCTTGCTCTCTCTCTAATAAATAAATAAAAAATCTTTAAAAAAAATAAATTTGCAACATTCCACCATCACCAATCCTTTTCCCCTTAACCCACCCTACATTTCCTCTTTATGCTAGTACATATCACTCAATATCCTGTATAATTTGCTTATTATTGTTTGCCGCCCCCCCCCCCCATTAGAATATAAGCTCCACAAGAACAGGAACCTCTGGTGTATTATTTACTGAAGTATTCCAAGTATTTAAAACTGCTCAGCACATAGGCACTACATAAAAATTTACTCAGTGGGGCAGCCCGGGTGGCTCAGTGGTTTAGCGCCGCCTTTGGCCCAGGGCGTGATCCTGGAGACCTGGGATCTAGTCCCACGTTGGGCTCCCTGCATGGAGCCTGCTTCTTGCTCTGCCTGTGCCTCTGCCTCTCTCTGTGTCTCTCATGAATAAATAAAATCTTTTTTTTTTTAATTTTTTTATTTATTTATGATAGTCACAGAGAGAGAGAGAGGAGAGAGTCAGAGACATAGGCAGAGGGAGAAGCTGGCTCCATGCACCGGGAGCCCGACGTGGGATTCGATCCTGGGTCTCCAGGATCACGCCCTGGGCCAAAGGCAGGCGCTAAACCACTGCGCCACCCAGGGATCCCAATAAATAAAATCTTAAAAAAAAAAATTTACTCAGTAAATTAGTGGGAAGCTATTGAAGGTTTTAAGTAAGAAAGTAACATGATCATGTCTTAAAAGGCTGCTTTACTCTGGAGAATGGATTGTAGAATGAATTATGGTGTTAGTTTGGTGAAGGAAGTTTGGCTGTGAAGAAGAGAGTGAGTTTTGTAAAAAGGATTGAGGAGCAAGACCTTGAGCTCAGTCAAGTTAGGAGAGACCATTCTTTCATATAATGAGAAGGAGAATGCAGGTAAGTGCAGTGTAAATTTGTACATTCATTTTTTTTTTCTCTGAAGGAGGAGGCAAGCTCTTGATGAAAATGGGGTGCTGAAGTCAAGTTTGAAGGAAAGAGTTTGAACCAGGGGCTCGGTAGGGACTGTAGTGTGGCACAGCACAAGAGTGCAGTCTCTGGAGGCAGACCTTTTGGGTTTGGGTGGACAAGTTGCTTAATCTCTACAAGCCTGAATTTCCTCATAATTAAAATAGAGGTAATATTAGCATATACTTAATGGAGTTGTCTGGAGGTTGAGTGAGAATTTGGTAAAACTCTTAGCATAGGGTCTGGCATGTAGTAAGCCCTCACTGGCTGTTAGCTCTGTTCGAGAAAAGGGCACCAAAAGAACAGTGAGGGAACAGTGAAGATCAATCAGATACATTTCTCATTACCAGTGGGCAGCCAGCTTTGGTTTACTAGATCAAGAAAAGATTAGGAAAAAAAAAAGATTAGGAATAAAAATAGCACATCTCCTCCCACCACCACCCCAGCTTGCCATCTGCTCTCAGGCAAATCTTTTCCCATCTTTGACCCTTGGAAACCTTTCTGTAGAATGGAAGTTTGGATGCATGATGGTTCAAGGCTGTTTCATTGCAAATATGCTACATCTCTAAGCAGATAAACTTCCTACCCGCCCCATGCTTCTGGACACACCTAATAAACCCCTCTCCACACACACAGTCACAGTGAGCATCTGAGACACACAGGTGCTCCCACACAGGACCCAGCCCAGCCCTGGCCTCTTGTGTCTCCAAGATTATGCTAATATTGGTCCCTCTGAAGTCACTTGCAGAAACTCAGCCCGAAGGGTCCTACCGCAGTGCACAGCCGGCCAAGAGCAAACTCCTGAGCCTCTGGAGAGTGAGTAAAGCTAGCCACCCTATAATGAATGTTATAGAGAGGGAGGTGGCTGTACCCACTGTGGGGCCCTAAGATTCAGCCTCATTGTGACTACTTTGGGCCTTTCTCTTCTAGGCCATCATGAAGAAGCCACAAGCAGCTGTGAGAAGTCGTCTTAGGAAGCAGGCATCCAGGCAGGAGGGAAGGGAGAAACGTGTCCTCAGCAGCAGCCAGGTCAAGCCTTCTACCGCTGCAGGTGAGGAGCTTGGTCCTAGTCAAAAATGAAGGTGCTGGTTTCATTGGCCATGAGGGGAGGGAGATTCAGGCTGGGAAGGAAGCGTGGTATGTGTCAGGGCCTGAAGGGACTAATTAAGGATCTAATTCTGATTTTGCTCTATAACTTTGGGATAATTGCTCTGAATGGCTGCTTTCCTACCAGTGAAATGGAGCAATTGTTTGTGCATTTCCTTCCTCATGCAGCTTTCATGGGATCAAATGAGTTTATGAGCCTGAATATGTTTTATAAGTGGAAAAGCCCTGCACAGGTATACATTATGCTTAGCTGAAACTGTTGGGCTTTCATAGTGACCCAGAGGCAAAGGAGGCAGCAGAACCACCCTGGGAAAGTTCAGACCAGAAATCTGGCTATGGTAACACACCACTGGAGAATTCTGGTCTGACTCCAAGTCCAAGGCCTAAGCAAGGGGTTGGGGCTGGGGGAAGCCCTCAGTGGGAGAGCAAGCTGCAGTGCCCCGGGCAGTTGGTACACAGCCTGTGCAGGGGCGATGCCTGAGTCTCCTGAGGCCCCCAGCAGGCTTGGCCAAGCGGCAGGAGGAGGCGGCATGGCAGGCCTCTGTCTCCTCATACCATCTGTTCAGAGACACAGCCGAGGTCATGGCCTTTCGGGAGAACCTACTGAACTGGTACGACCGAGCGAAGCGGGACCTGCCCTGGAGAAGGCTGGTAAGCAGGCGACAGACAGGACAGTGTGGTGGGAGGTCGGTGCCCAGCTCTCTCCATCCTGACTCTTCATCTGGGATTGTGTTGGCAGGCAGAGGGTGAGGTGGATCTGGACAGGCGGGCGTACGCTGGTGAGTGCATCTCTTGGGAGTGAGGCTGCTTTGCCCAGATGCCCACTGGTCTGGGGCCCAGGGGCTGTGTGCTGAGAGCAGGAGAGCTCAGCAGCGCCCTCATGCCAACCCCTCTCCCCCAGTGTGGGTCTCAGAGGTCATGCTGCAGCAGACCCAGGTCGCAACGGTGATCGACTATTATACTCGATGGATGCAGGTGACTTTAGGGAAGGAAGGGGAGGTCATGAGCCAGACCCCATAGAGAGCCTAGCCTTTGGGGTGGGGTAAAAAAGGCTTCCTTTACCTCCCTTAACCTTGGTCTCACTTCTTTTTGATCACCTTGGAGCTGTAGAAGTGGCCAACGCTGCAGGACCTAGCCGGTGCTTCCCTGGAGGTAAGAGCCCGGGGTAGGGGGAATGGGACAATGGGGGACTGACCACTGATCCCTCTGATCTCACCCACAGGAGGTGAACCAGCTCTGGGCTGGCCTGGGTTACTACTCTCGAGGCCAGCGGCTGCAACAAGGAGCTCGGAAGGTAAGGGAGTCACAAGGTAAAGGGGTGAGCCCCAGGGCCTCAGGTGTCTCATAACCTGGAGCCTTCCCACCCCAACCAGGTGGTAGAGGAGCTAGGGGGCCATGTGCCACATACAGCAGAGACCCTGCAGCGGCTCCTGCCTGGCGTGGGGCGGTACACAGCAGGAGCCATTGCCTCCATTGCCTTTGGACAGGTGAGCCCATAGCCCACCCCCACATTGTGTGTGCCCATCCCCCTTCCTCCCAGACCAGGCTGACTCCTGGGTTCCTCTATGCCAGGCAACCGGTGTGGTAGATGGGAACGTAATACGGGTGCTATGCCGTGTCCGAGCCATTGGTGCTGATTCCAGCAGCACCCTTGTCTCCCAGCATCTCTGGTAGGATATCAGGGTCATGGGGAGACTGGGAAGGGTGTCTCCAAAGGGTCTTTGGTTCACAGCAGTGTTTCCTTATAGGGGCTTAGCCCAGCAGCTGGTAGACCCAGCCCGGCCCGGGGATTTTAACCAGGCAGCCATGGAGCTGGGGGCCCTAGTGTGCACCCCACAGCACCCGCGCTGCAGCCAGTGCCCTGTACGGAGCCTGTGCCGGGCACACCAGAAGGTGAGCCATCTGGGGAAGGGGCAGGCAGGGCTCCTAGAGGGCGACCCCTACCCCATGACATCTGCCTTATGCCTCTTAGGTGGAACGGGGAAAGCTCTTAGCCTCCCAGAGCCTGCCAGGCAGCCCCGACGTGGAGGAGTGTGGTAAGTGCCAGCCCCAGCCTGTACTGCGCTGTCCAGGAGCTGCTGCTGGAAGCCTCATTCCAGTTTATCCTGGCAACCTCAATAAGATTCTGCAGAGCCGGGCCGTGGCCTCTTTCTGGGCTTGGCACCTAAGCTCACCTGCCTGAGTGGCGCTTGCGGATCTCTCTTCCCAGCTTCCAGCACTGAACAGTGCCAGCTGTGCGCGCATCCCACAGAGCCCTGGGACCAGACCCTGGGAGTGACCAACTTTCCCAGGAAGGCCAGCCGCAGGCCCCCCAGGGAGGAGCGCTCTGCCATTTGTGTTCTAGAGCAGCCCAGGGCCCCTGGGGGTCCTCAAATTCTGCTGGTGCAGAGGCCCAGTTCAGGTACCTAGATCCTTGGAGTGAGGGCGGTGGCCTGAACTATAAGGGAGAAATGGAGGAATCAGCAGCTAAGTTCTGACCACCATGTCTGTGCTTTCCCTCAGGTTTGCTGGCAGGACTGTGGGAGTTCCCATCAGTGACCGCAGAGACCTCAGGGCGATGTCAGCGTGAGGCCCTGCTGCAGGAACTGCAGAGTTGGGCTGGGCCCCTCCCAGCCTCCCACCTCCAGCACCTTGGGCAGGTGAGTGAGCAGTGGGAGGGGCAGGAGTGATGGCTTGTGTGGGCACATCCACAGGCCTGTTTCAGCCCCTTGACCCTCCTCCAGGTGGTCCACACCTTCTCTCACATCAAGCTGACATATCAAGTATACGGTCTGGCCCTGGAAGGACAGGCCCCGGTGACCATTGTACCACCTGGTGCACGCTGGCTGACCCGGGAGGAGTTTGACACTGCAGCTGTCTCCACCGCTATGAAAAAGGCACTATTTGTGTTGTCTTTGTTGTACTTTTTGGTGTTTCTTGTCTATTCTATGTGAACCTGTTACCATGTAAACAGGGAGGAAAAAAAGCATGTTTTAAACAGATGTACAGGGCCATGAAGTTGAGGAGAGACCTCTTTGGGGGAAAGGTGCCAGCCCTGCACTCTCCCCCTTTCCTTGCCTAGGTGTTCCGTGTGTACGAGGGCCAACAGCCAGGGATCTGCAAGGTGAGTCTCTTGGCCCTCACCCAGCCTTCTTTCCCCAGGCCCGAATCCTTGGGTTTTCAGTGAGTTAAACAGTACATGTTTGGGTGAACATTATCCACTCCAGACTTCACCATGGGGAGAGGAATAGTTCTTCCTTGGAGACTTTATAGCCTGGAGTCCAGGGTGGAGAGGGAATAAGAACAAATGATGGAGACAACAGGTCACAGGTGTGTGAAATGCTTGTAGTAGGTTTTGTGGTTTATGAGGTGGAGAGCTTTCAGTTCTGTCTGGGAGGCAAGGATCAGAAAAGGCTGCTTAGAAGCAGCAGCTGGTAGGTAATCTCAGTCTAAGAAATGAATCATTGTCTCCAGGTTTGGGAGGGGAATTAGCAATAAGAATGTTCACACTGGGCCCAAGAGTAGTGTGAGCAAAGGTGGCATAATGCAGTTGCAGTGTGCAAGGAGCTGTAAATATTTGATGAGCAGGGCCCGCACAGACCAGGTAGGGCTATGAACACCAGGCTAGTAAAGCATTTTTAGTGGAGAGAGGAGTCAGATTTGTATGTTAGTTAATTACCTTGGGCTGCCATTTAGAGTTGATCGAAGAGATAGATACTACAGATAGATTAGCAGCTTTACAACATTCAGGCTAGAACGGGAGCTGTATTAGTGGAGTGGAGAGGGAGCTGAAGGAGAGGACTCCCTGCTGCCCCCTAAGTGCCTCCTTCCTTTGGCTTCGCACAGGGTTCCAAGAGATCCCAAGTGTCTACTCCATCCAGCCGGAAAAAGCCCAGCCCTGGCCAGCAACTCCTGGATAGTTTCTTTCGGCCTCTCATCCCTATGGATTCATCCAACCTCAACAGTATGGCCCAGTGACATCTCTAGAAGCCCCCATTTCCTGAGAATCCTGGGTTTTTGGTTTTGTTTTGTTTCTAATTTTATTTGACAGAGCATAAGCAAGAGAAGCAGCAGATGGAGAGGGAAAAGCAGGCTCTCTGCTGAGTAGGGAGCCCGATGCAGAGCTCAATCACAGGACCCTGGGATCATGACCTGAGCCGAAGGCAGATGCCTAACCAAATGAGCCACCCAGCAGCCCTTGAGTCCCGTTTTTTAATAAAGCGCTTATTTTTATAGTCATTTTGGAGACTTTTCACCCTCTCCCTAGCCTTCTCATTCTTCTCTGGGGGACCTAGAAAGTGGTAAAGTCCTGCTTGGTGCTGACTTCCATTGCCGAGGGCTCCCAGCCAGCCCTGGGCCAGTGGAGGTAGGAGTTCTGTCCAGAGTGATCTGTCTTCCTCCAGCCCCTAGGTGAGAGGGAGAGAGCAGCTGCAGGGGGCCCCTGCCAGTGGCTGACACCCAACACCCTTGGTCTACCTCTCTGGTCAGCTGATTTGCTCCAGTCAAATGGTATTGTCCTATAGCAGGTGGTTGGGCTCAGCCCTGACCCAGTCCCTCCCCACCTGTAGAGGCTGCTCCCTAGGGAGAAGGGAAACGAAAGGATTTGTTCTGTCTTAAATTCCTACCTCAAATACTAAATTTACTTCTGTATTGTTTCATACGTAGTGCAACAATACAGCAAATCAAGGGGTTAATAATCATAAAATTGGGGGTAGGGTACAGGGAAACGGGATCAGAGAAGGTCACAAAGATGGTTCAAAAGTATTGGTAAGTTCTATTTCCTAATTATGTAATTCTTTTATTATTTTTTATATCTTGCATATAAGTAATAGACTAATAAGAATATTTCATAGTTAAAAAAAAAATCCCACCTCTTTGGACCCTAGTGAGAGCTTCACATTCTGGAAGGTACCGAAGAAATGGCGGCCACACCTGGCCTGTAGGGACAAAGCCCTTCACTCCCAGCCTGTGCAGGTGTTTCTTAGTTCCAGCCGGCCCTGTGCTCCAGGACGGGAGGCTGAACCCAGCCCCCACCTTCTGGCTTCCTGGTCCCTGGCGGCTTGCTCCTCCTGCACAGACTGCCACAGGGCCCGGATGTTGCCCTGGCCAAAACCTGTGGCCCCCTGCCTCTGAATTAGCTCCAGAAAGAAAGTGTCCTCTGGAAAGAGAGACTTGGTGAAGACCTGAAGCAGAAACTTGCCATCCTCGCCATCCAGCAGGATCCCCCATCGGGCCAGCAGGCTAGGCTCATGCCCTGCAGCTAGGATCTGCCGTTCCTTGCCGGGCTGTTGGTAGTACGCCTCAGGAGGGGCGAGGAGCTGGCCCCCAGCCACTGCTACCCCCTCAGTGGCTTCTACGATATTGGGCGTGTACAGCCCCACGTGCTGCATCCCTGGTCCCCTGTGCCGGGCCAGGAACTGCTCCACCTGGTCCTGTCCACTAGAAGCCCCCGGTAGGGTCTCCGCCAGCACGAGGGTGGGGACAGCACTGCCCGGTGGGCTCTGCAGGGCCGTGAGCTTCAGTCCCCCTCGCCCAGATCCTGCTGTCACCTCGAGGCCCACCTCGGGATCCTCATCTGGACTCAGCGGCAGGTGGCGGAAGCCTAGACAGTGGCGGAACCAGCGCATCAGTGTGGGGGAGCTGCCAGGGGTGCAGGCAAGGGTCAGGTGGTCCACGTGGCTGACCCAGCCCGGGCCGGCTGCAGAGGGCACGGACTGGAATCCTGGCAGGAAAGGCCCTCGGAAGCCGGCACGCTCCACGAGTGTCAGGCTGAGGTTGCCGGCGGGCGAGCTGACCACGGCGTAGGTGGCTGTGCCCTGCGCATCCTTCACGCTGACCGGGGGCACCGGCACGCTGCAGCCCCGCGCGACCAACGCCCGGGCGGCGGCGCCCGCATCCGCCACGTCGAAGCACAGGTTGGTGGCGCTGGGCACCGCATGACGCGGGTCCAGGCCGTACAGCGGCTGCCGCGGCCCTGCGCCCTCGTTCACCAAGAAGACCGCGTCGCCGCTGCGCAGGGCCAGCTGCCGCCAGCCTTCTGCTTCCCGCACCGCCAGGGGCTGGAACCCGAAGAGCCGCCGCAGGTCGCGGGCGAGGCGCTGCCCCGCGGGCACGTGGAAGGCAACGTGGCACAGGCGACCGGCGTGCGCGGCCATGGCGGCCGGGATGGTGACCCTGGCTTGGCCTTCCCCCGGGCCGCTCACCTGTGTTCAGGACTCGCGGACTCTCCGTCCGGCTTTGTCGTCGGGAGCCTGTGGAGTCCAGTTTTGCCCACAGAGCGCGTCCCTCGCTCTTTTCCGAGAAGTCACGGACGCAGCCCTGAGGGGCCCCAGGTTCTCCCGGGGACGCCGTCCCGCCCCCCCAGCTGCGCTGGGGCCACCCGGGCCGCTGGCGGGCGCTGCAAACCACGTGGAGCCGGGCGGGGGCGGAGCCTGGAGGGGCGGAGCCTGGAGGGGCGGAGCCTGGAGGGCGGTGCCAGCGCCGCGGCACAGCCCCTCCCACCCAGGTCCCGGCTCCCAGGCTGCGGCGAGGGCACAGAGCTGCCCTTTCCCGGAGCTTCTGGCTGGGCCACGCCCGAGGGCACTGAGCCGCCCTTCTCCTCCCACCCCGGGGAGCTCACAGTAGCTGCCTTCACGCGGTGCCAGGCGCCGGGCTTTCTCTCACCCCGCCTAACCTTAGAGCCGAAGGAGCCAACCCCAGCTGGGGGAGGACCCAGAATTCCTACCCCCCTCCCACCCTCGCCCCCACCCTCTGCACGGAATTTATCAATGTTGTGTTTTAGCTTAAAAAACGGTAGAAAATTTTGCCTTTGATTCATAATGTTCCTTTAAAACTATAAAAAATACTGCTTTTAAGTTACAGATTTTCTTTCCTTCCCCAAATTGGTCCAGAGAAATTGACGTTATAGGAAGATAGACCATTTGTATGGCTCCTAACAAACCTCTGTCCATTTTCTCAGCTGCACCTCTTTCTTCAACCCCATTTATATTTCAACAGTCTTTTGCCCCCTTGTACCAAGGAAGGTCTGATAGAAAAACTGGTGGCTCAGGTCCTGGAGCAGCTGCATTGGTGTTCCTTCCCCTCCTGACCCTATAGGACTAGAACTCAAGCTCTCTTTGCGCTTCACAGTTTCCTGACTGGATATTGGGCCAGAGAAGCTCTCTGTAGGCATTTCTGGCCTCACACACAATTGCGTGAGATCGCTGGATTGAGGAAAGTAGGAGTCTTCTGAGACTTCAGCTGGTGGCCCTTGAAGGATTTGAAAAGGGCATTTCAAGAAGGGTAAATGGCTTGAGCAAAAAGATCCCCGAAGAAGGTGAGCCAAACCCTCAGAGGAGCAAAAAGAGCATAAGGTCGTGGAGACATTTGGGATGGATGCTATGGTTCCAGGCATTGTAAAGGAGATTCCTTCGTCCTGGAGCCTGATGTAAGACCACTGAGTATTACATCATTGATAGGTTCATTGGCAAGAGGACGAAGGATGTGATGGAAGGACAGGGCTGAGAAAAAGATGTCCAGCTGTGTGTTCCGTCTTGCAGCCAGGAAGGCAGTACCCAGAAGCTGATCAGCAGTGGTAAAAGTCTACTCTGCAGACTAGTCAATTTGAGAACATGGGTTCCAAACGCCAGGTAGACCTTGGGTTTGAAAACTACTTCCAGGGGCACCTGGGTGGTTGGTCAAGTGTTGCCTTCAGCTTGGGTCATGATCCCAGGTCCTGGGATTGAGCCCCCTGTCGGGCTACCCCACCCCTCATCCCCTCCCCAGCTAGCAAGGAGTCTGGTTCTCCCCGTCCCTCTGCCCCTGACTCATGCTCTCTCTCTCTCTTAAGTAAATAAATAAAATCTTTAACCCCCCCCCCCAAAACAAAAGCAAACTCTACCTCCAGTATTTAGTAGCTGTATGACTTGGGGCAAGTTGCTTACTTTCTCTGAGCCTTAGTTTTCTCTTCTGTAAAAATGGGAATAATAATAGTACCTACTTCGCAGGGTGTTTCTGATTAAACAAAATAGTATATGCTGCAGCCTGACAAGGAGTCCAGGATTTGGCCTGTGAACCTGGGCCTGGCTCTGTGGGGTAAGGGCATACAAAGTGGGTTTCTATGTCACAAGGTGAGGGGCTAAAGTAGGACTCAGGATAACAACCACATTAGGATTACTCCTCCCTCTCTGGGGCTTGAGTCCTGGGAAGGCTCTAGAAAGGCCCTAGCATTGGTGTGGATTCTGGAGGATGGGGCCCTGGGAATAGGGTTCTGTGAGGGCTGGGGCAGCTGGGACTATCTTCTGTCCTCACCATCATGATCAGTCTCCAGGTGAGCAGCTCTAGTGCCTCCAGGCCTTTGGTCCTGCCAAAGGGGTTTCCACTGAAGGGCCCTGGGTGTGGACAGGGAACAGAAACTGGTTTCCTGATGCATCACTTCCCACCTGCTCCTGAGGGAGAGGACAGATTTCTAAAGGCCAAGTAGAGGGTGACTTAGAAAAGAAAGGGAGATCTTAGTTAGGGCATGTTGTCCTGCAAGGGTGCTGTGCTGGACCTTGATCCAGGATGCAGGTTGGGCTCTTTAAAGGCCAGACAGGGTGGGGGAGGGTAGAGGTGGTCATTGTCCTTAGTCTCCCACCTAGCTAGACTCCAGTTCCTGCAGCCCTGCTGGCCTCTGGGCTGTGACCAACGTAGGACCCCTGTCTCCTTGTGGTTAGGACCCTGTGGGACTTTCGCATGACGTTGTCCTCCCTGCCTGGCCGGGACTGCTTTCTTGCTGGGGCTAGAGGTGCTGAGGGTAGGTGCTGGAGGGTACGCAGGTCCCAGGTGTGAGGCGATGCCACTGCAGGAGTCCTCCTGCCACACCTGCCTTCCAAGAGCCTGTACAGACACATCCCTCCTGCAGCTCTCAGCCTAAGCCGGGAGGCTGGCAGAGGCCCACTCTTCTCCAAAATCCTGACCTTCACCCCAGTCCTGTCTCTCCTCTCCCAGCCCGAAAAGGTGGGGCCGGGAACTCACACCGCTCAGGTCCCACCCGTCACTGCCCTCCAGGGCCAGGTGGGTGATTATGAGCTGCTGTTTTTTAACATGACCTCTGAGGGTCACCCTTGGCTTGACATTTTACAAAGGGTGGCCTGGAAGACCTCACAGAGGAGGTGACTTTTGGATATGTATGTGTATGTGGTAAAATGCACATGACAGGAACGCCTGGGTGGCTCAGAGGTTGTGTGTCTGCCTTGGGATCAGGCCCTGATCCCGGGGTCCTGGGATCGGGCTCCTTGTGGGGAGCCTGCTTCTCCCTCTGCCTGTGTCTCTGCCTCTCTTTTGGTGTCTCTCATGAATAAATAAATAAAATCTTAAAAAAAATACACATACCATAGTAATGTTTACCTTGTTAACCATTTTTAAGTGCACAGTTCCGTTGTATTAAGTACACGCATCACCATCATCTATCCACTGAACTCTTTCCCTGTTGCCCAGATGAAACCCTGTCCCCATTAAAGAACTCTCTCCCCTCCCCCAGTCCCTGGAACCACTAGTTTACTTCTGACTACTCTGGGAGCTTCATATAAGTGAAATCATGCAGTATTTGTCTTTCTGTCCATCATTTCACCTTAAAAGGATTTAAGGTCACCAGTAATTTTCATGTTATTCAATGGACAATTTTCAGATCTCATTTCACTGACTCAAAAATATTTTATGCATTGTCTATTTTTTGAAATACTCTTGCCCTGGCTTTTAGAACATCACACCCACCTGGTTTTCCTTTGGTAGCATTCTCTCTCCTCTGCCTGTTTTTAAATGTTGGTGCTACTCAGGGCTTCGGTTATCATCTCCTTGCTAGATGATCCCCGCATGTATGTCCCACTTCCTAATCTTTATTCAACTGCTTATTTGCCATCTTGATTTGGATATCCCACTGTCACCTCAGATTCAACATGCCCAACATTGTTCCCTTTTTACTCACAGGTACTCCCATCTGAGCACCTGTCCTACTCTCTCCAGTGGTATTATTCAGAAACCTACATCATTTTTGAACCTTTCTGTTTCTCATCCCTCATCTCCAGCCAATCACCATGTCCCTGCCTATTCTATTTCCGCAACATCTCTCAACTCATTCCCTCCCTCTTCATTCCTCTGTTCCACCCAAGTGCAGGGCCTCACTGTCTCTGCATCAACTGGATACTACTAATTGCCTGGCTTTAGGTTCACCACTGTCCTAACCAGTCTCCACGTTGTAGCCAGAGTTAGCTTTGAAAAAATATAGATCAGAGCAGCGCGGGTGGCTCAATGGTTTAGCGCCGCCTTCAGCCCAGGGCCTGACCCTGGAGACCTGGGATCGAGTCCCATGTCGTCAGGCTCCCTGCATGGAGCCTGCTTCTCCCTCTGCCTGTGTCTCTGCCTCTCTCCCTCTCTCTCTCTGTGGGTCTCTCATGAGTAAATAAATAAAGTCTTTAAAAAAATAAAAATAAAATAAAAAATATAGATCGTATTATGTCACTGTCCTACTTAAAAACCTTCACTAAGCTCTGGTTGCACATAGGATAAAGACAAAAAAAGTTTCTCCTGGCTGATTAGCCACTGACAACCTTTCCAACTTTTGTTGTCATTCCTCCACACTGTAGTTTCTTGATGTTTCATGCTGCCTCCCACTCAGGACTTTGGTCTTTGCTGTTCCCTCCTGACTAGAATACCTTCTTTCTCACCCGCCTTGACCTGGTTAACACTTTATCAATCATTAGGTCTCAGATGAATTTGTTTGAGGATGTCTTCCAAGATCGTCAAGACTTATGTCTAGTGCCTCAGAATTTATTAATTAACAAATTAAGGCCTCAAGGGGCTGGTGGGTGATTATCAGACTGCAGGGTTTTTTTTTAAGATTTTATTTATTTATTCATAGAGATGCAGAGAGAGAGAGAGAGAGAGAGAGAGAGGCAGAGACAGGCAGAGGGAGAAGCAGGCTCCATGCAGGGAGCCAGATGCGGGACTCGATCCAGAGTCTCCAGGATCACGCCCCGGGCGGCAGGCGGCGCTAAACCGCTGCGCCACCGGGGCTGCCCTGCAGGTTTTAATATAACCTCTAGGTGTCACTCATGACCTCTGCTTAACAAGGATGTGGCTGGGTACCAGGATGGAGGGGCTGAGTAGGTACCCGCCTGGCCCACCCATCCAGCTGGGAGACGTTATGGGAAGCCCAGCTTCTTTCAGGTCTGACAACTACTCCATCTGTTCTGGGTCAGCTGCCTTGATAGGGTGACCAACCATCCCAGTTTTCCCAAGACTGAATTTCCAGTGCTCTCAGGATGTGGACATTTCAGACCTAAAACTGGGACAACCCTGGGCAAACCATGGCAGAGGGGCCAAAACCTCCATGTGTACATGAGACTAAGGTCTACGCCTAGCAGGAG